TTGATAAAATACACCACCTAATTGCCGTAAAACTGGAGAATTTCGGTGTACACGGTGCTTTGCGCGGTTTCCTAAGTGTTACTTGTAACAATTGTCATATATATATATATATATATATATATATATATATATATATATATATATATATATATATATATATATATATATATATATATATATATATATATATATATATATATATATATATATATATATATATATATATATATATATATAAAGTTACATGTTACGAAAACTGAAGGAAGAATATGAGAAAAATGGAATGGAAATAAATTTTTCGAAAATGGAATACCTGGCAACAACAGAAGATGGAGAAAACTACCTACAAGTCGATGAAAATCATCAAATAAAGAGAACCAAAAATTTCAAATACTTAGGTTTCATAATATCTCAAAAAGGGACAACAGAGGAAAAAATGAACAGTAGACTAGGCCAGACGCGAAACTGTATCAGACAACTAAATCCAATACTCTGGGATAGACACATCACTCGACACACTAAATCACATATATTTAACACCATAGTACAGAGCGTAATGACATACGGCGCGGAAAACTGGGTGATCAACAAAAAATACAAAAGTAAAATACAGGCCACTGAAATGGAATACTGGAGGAGAAGTTGTAGAATTTCGAGAATACACAAAGTAAGAAACGAGGAGATCAGGCAGCGAATGGGTGTCAAGGAAGATGCCTTAACATTGATTGAAGAAAAGAGATTGGTATGGTATGGGCATGTAAGAAGAACGAACAGAAATAGGTGGATACAGAAGATAACAGAATGGAGCCCCATAGGTAGAAGGAAAAGGGGTAGACCCAGATATATATATATATATATATATATATATATATATATATATATATATATATATATATATATATATATATATATATATATATATATATATATATATATATATATATATATATATATATATATATATATATATATATATATATATATATATATATATATATATATATATATATATATATATATATATATATATATATATATATATATATATATATATATATATATATATATATATATATATATATATATATATATATATATATATATATATATATATATATATATATATATATATATATATATATATATATATATATATATATATATATATATATATATATATATATACATACATATATATATTTCTACTTCATCCCTCCAAGATCTTCTATATATATATATATATATATATATATATATATATATATATATATATATATATATATATATATATATATATATATATATATATATATATATATATGTATATATATATATATATATATATATATATATATATATATATATATATATATATATATATATATATATATATATGATGACACTATATTCCGGGATATCATCCGTTCGCTCGTTGAACTCCGACTGGAATCCTGCAAATCTTGCATCCGACTGGAATCCTGCAGACGTTTCGCCAAAATCTCACTTGGCATCTTCAATGCTCGCGCTATATATATATATATATATATATATATATATATATATATATATATATACATATATATATATATATTTCTACTTCATCCCTCCAAGATCTTTCTCTGTTGTCCCTTTTTGAGATATTATGAAACCTAAGTATTTGAAATTTTTGGTTCTCTTTATTTGATGATTTTCATCGACTTGTAGGTAGTTTTCTCCATCTTCTGTTGTTGCCAGGTATTCCATTTTCTAAAAATTTATTTCCATTCCATTTTTCTCATATTCTTCCTTCAGTTTTCGTAACATGTAACTTAGGCCTTCTTCGTCTTGTGCGAGTACAACTTGGTCGTCCGCGAAATTTAAAGTGTAAAGACAGTCGCTTCTGATTGGAATTCCCATTTGTTCACATTTTTTCTTCCATGGTTTTAAGATCTCCTCTAGAAATATTTTAAACAATGTTGGTGATGTGGAGCATCCTTGTAGCAGCCCTTTTGTTGTTTTAAAGCTTTTTGAGAGTCTATCTTCGATTTTTATAGATATTTGGTTTCCTTCAAACATTTTTTTAACGGTCTCTATTAATTTTTGTGGCAATCCGATGGTCTTCATTGCCTTCCATAGTATCCCCCTGGGTATGGTGTCGTATGCTTTTTTTAGGTCTATAAAGGCTAAGTGAACCGCTCTATTTTTAGCCATTTTCTTCTCTATCACTTGTTGTATAGTGTATATATGTGGTCTATACAAGATCGACCCGCCGTAAAACCTGTTTGTTCTTCTCCAATTTTGCCTTTTATTTCTATTTCTAGTTTTGCCTTTACGAGTTTTCCATATAGTCTTCACATAGATGATATTACGCTAATTCCTCTGTAATTTTCGCAATTTTTACGGTCGCCTTTTTTGAATATCGATGTCATATATGCAGTTGTCCACTCTTTTGGTAGTTGTTCTCCATTTATTGCTCTTAGAAACATTTGGTGTATCATTCGGTATAGTTTTTCTGATCCGTATTTTATTAGTTCAGGAACAATGCCTCCTGGGCCGGCAGCTTTATTATTCTTCATACTTTTAATGGCCATTTTTACTTCTTCTAAGCTAAGATCTATATCCTTTTGTTCGTCTGATGTTGTCTCCGAGTTTTCTCCAATAAAAGTAGGTCTATCCTCTGTTAGCAGTTTTTTGTAGTGTATTTCCCACATAGTATCTGATATGTATTCTAGATGTACTTTTTCTTTCCTATTAGTTCTAAGAGATTTAATTAGACGCCAGGATTCTGAATTACGCGTTCCTCCTATATATTGTTCCACATTTTTGCAGGCCTCTTTCCATTTGTTGTTCTTTTCTTTCTGTACTATTCTTTTGACTTCTCGATTTTTCTCTCGGTATATCTCTCTAACTTCATCTGTTTTTGTATTTAACCACTTCATATAAAGTTCCTTCTTTTCATTTATGATTTCCCTTAGGTCTTTATTAATGTCTATTTTATGTTGGTTTTGTGATTCTTCCTTCTCTCCGAGAGCTTCAGTAGCTGCTTCTTTGATGCATGTTTTTATATGCTCGTATGTTGTCCCTAGGTCGTCGAGGCTGAATTCTTTCAGTTTTTGGTCTATTCTTCGCTGATATAAGTACCGTATTGACTCATCGTGTAAAAGCTGTATATTGAACTTTTGTTCTTTTTGTTCATGTTCAAATGCTATTTCTTTTTTTTTTCATATATAAACTATCACAAATTTACAAATTATAATACAGACCTTACAACTATTATTATGTTGGTTCTTTAATTGGGACTTGTCCTCTCAAATCTAGTTGAAGATAGTCTTCTCATTACTGCAATGGTGGATAAGTGAGATGTACTAGGAATACAATATTAGATTTTATTAACTGAAAATATGCAGCGCATTTTAAAAAAATATATAGTAGAAAATCAACTATTTATTAGGCATACTATTTTCCCCAAAATTATTTTACCGAAGCATTTATTTATTTATTAATAAAATAAATATTAATTATTACTATTCTCCTTACAGTTTTTATTTTTTATTGTTAACAAACTCGAGCTGCAGATTTAATTTTTATATTCATTTATTTTGTTATTTATTTATATATCTTACTTGATGTTAGTCTATTTCTAACTAGGTGTACATATTTTAACGAAAAAGGGGACTTTGCGAAATTAGCGTGTTACTATTCAAGAAACAAAATAGGCCTTGGATTGTGATCTATGATTTTGTCGATCACGTAGAATAAATGCTAAAAAGAGACTAGCCAATCTAGCAATATGCATGACATTAATTTACATTTGTTTACCCCAAGAGCAACACAACAAAACAAGAAACGGGCCGATCGGAGAACAAAAATAAAAAATCAAAATAGGAAATGCGAACGTCCGCCAACTAGTTTTGTTCTAAAGTTGATTTCCCGAGGGTTTTGTTTATCCCTGCCTCCCGGTGATCACTGACCTGATCCAAAGGAAAAATAAACTACTGAAACGATGGATTCCGGCAGAGGTTTCGTGCAAAACAGGCAAAATCAGCAGAAAATATACAACACAAATTTAGCCATGTCTTGAGTAAAATAAAAGTTAACAATAAGGCGAAGTTATTTGATAAAATGATGGTAACCAATTTTTCCAATTGCGTTTTTTCTTTCCTTGATTCATCATCATTAAAAAATGTCGACTTTAACATAAAAAATATCTAAAACAATTTCAGGTAATGGATTCTCTGGGAACTAATAAAATATTAACTGAGCAATTAATCGATTGTAATGAACCCTCAATTTGACCATTCAAATGCTGAAATCAAAATTTGGTTAGTGACAGACCGAATATGGCACTCTATTAAACTAGTATTGTGATATTAAAATTTTATCGCAATTTGGAATAACACGTATTGCAAGCTCTGGGTTTTGTGGTTTAAAATAATCAGACTGATTGGTTTGTAACTTGATTGATTAATTACTTTTGTTGCCAAAAAATAATAACATGTAAAATGGAGAATTTTTAGATGCAACTATAGGAACCACAAAAAATATTAGGCTGACATCGATGATATGGTTGTGATCAATAAGCGTGCTGATCACCATAACAATGAGGCAATAATAAAAAAAATGGGTTCATTTTTTATTTACTTTCTTGAAATGTACTTGATGAAAATGTGACCATCAATGCATCTCATTTTTCATATCGCTCATTCATAAGAAACTTTTCATAAATGAACGCCATTATAAAGTAATGGGTATGAGCATGATCAAACATTATAATTAAATTCGTACATCTATTTTTCCAAATTAATACCTTTTTCAACTATTATAATAAGATTATTATTTTTTATTGCTATTAGAATTCCGGTTTCAGTGCGCTTGAGAGATACTCATTTAATATTAGAAATAACAATTCTTGTGGAAAGCTAGAGCTATCGTAGGTATGTAATTATTTTTTAACTAGCACTGCTCGAAATCCAACCGAAGTGGCTCTAAAAAACGCAAACATTGTCGGATAAACACTTAACGGATTCCCAAAATGATTGCCGTGCGGCTCTACTTTCTCAAACCTTTGAGCATTCTACGAAGTGGCCATACTCGCAAGCACGTGCTCGTCACTGTTATATTATGAACTCCGGTCTGGGATAGAAACGAACCCAAGGCACGCCGTTACGGAACTGGCAACGGTATGAGCGCGTGGATATCAACCTGTGCAGATTTCGCGCAATGGTGTAACAAACAATTTCGGCAGCTCAGACGAGGAGAGACAGAGGAGCCACCGACTCAGAACTAACGACCCACACGAGGATTTTTCAATGTTACTCTTCCACGCGTCCAGAACGCACATTTTAAGTATAAGAAAAATATTGGAGAATGCTTCAGCGGCAGCCAGATACTAAAAAAAATTGAAGCTTGGACAAAAGTAGAAATAAACTAAACTGCTGGACACTGTATTAATGGTACGTATTATCTAAAACGGATATTTGGAGGAGGTTTATGGAATTTGAAGGATCATTTTATTAGCCACCTCTTCTCATTGCCTCTCCTATAATTTTTGATATTCTTCCTTCCTTCAAAGGCGTTTGTCTCTCAAACCTGCAACTTGAAACAAAAATGTTTAGGCTGAATATGCCACGTTAAATGTCGAATTTTCTAAAAAATGTCTTACTTTTAGTACATACAGAGTGGCGCAATAGCGAGACAAAGACAAACAACACATTATCTTGAATAACATCGAAAGATACATTTAAGATTTTATTTTCATTGTAAAATAATAATAATAATAAGATTCAATATACTGCAACAACAAAAAAACGGAATTAAACAATATTATTATAAGATGTACCCAAAAATGTTGTAAAGGCCTGGATAAGGCACATTTTAAATTTAAATAATCAATTTCATTTAGTGTTTGCCCAAAAATACGTTTTTGTTATTAATAAATAATACATTTTAGGTAATTTTTGTTATTATTTTGAGCTAAAAATTAATATAAAATGAAACTTAAGATAAACCTACCGTCTGAGACAAAAGGAAATAATAATAATAATAATAAATAATCAACAAAAAATGCAAAAAATCTGTGTCAGTCAATGTAACAAAATTTGAGTTATGATTTCTAAAGAAGATAATTTGATAACTAATTGTATTTTTTAAGTAATCATTTACTAGTTCTACTACTTTCAGACCCTACTTTTGGCAAATACAATTTTATGATATCAAACACTTAATTTTAAGTAAATCGTCTATTTCATTTTTGAATGTTAATTTTACATACAGGGGTCACTAGATAGTTCCACTTTTAATGTTAAAAAGGGTGCGGAGGAAGAGTTATAGGAGATAACAGGAAACAATGTTTTTTGAAAGATTTTCTATCTATTCTCAATAAGTTGGCAACATGGCATTAACATTTAAGAGAGAAAAAAATATAAGGCATATATTTATTACTAGATAATTGTAAAACATGTCTTTGGGTTTCATATACCTCTGAAAGTAATTTTTCGAAATTATGCATCCTGGGTATTTCAAAACTATAAGTAAAAAAGTTCGTCCTTGCTTGCGTGTTTGCCTTACCAACCATCTTTCTCAATTTTATATAAACGCATCTCTAACTGGAGTCCAAAATGTTTGTTTACCCCTTTCGAGTTTCCAACAGTTTTGGTTACACCAAGTGAAGTCAAGAAATAATTGTATAGTACTTCATGGTCTGAAGCTCTGAATTATTTTAACCAATTACCAAACCTGACGGGAAAAAACGTCCAAAACAAAAATTGCTTTTTTAATTAAATTTTAAGAAGACAACCGACCTTATTCTTAACTTTTTCTCATAAAATGACCTTAAGAGCCACAACAACAGGCAGATTCAAATTTTAAAGTGAAGTCTAAATTACACAGACCCTATTTTAAAAAATCCAGCAAGCGGTTTCGGCATTATCGATTTTGACCCGAACTGATAAAAGCGTCATCTATGGTAGTAGAAACGAGTTAAATAGTTCGATGTATTAGATCCAATTTGCTGCGAGGGAATCTTCGATTTTACAAAATATTGACTAACCCAAGTGAAGTGGCAATGGTCTGGATATTCGTGCCGTTGTATGCGTGTTGTATCCGAAAGATTAATCGACAAATTTTAAAAAATCTACTTTTTAATCCAATTAACGTCTTCGATTTTGATTATTAACTTATTTATACCTTGAACAAACTCATAACAAAATGTAAATAGAATCCAGTTTCTTTCAAAATAAATTTTTATTGATGGAATGTATTATATTCAATGTAAATTTAATTCCCCTCACTCAAGTTGAGACCATAACTTCCAAAGCCTAATTTTTAAAACATAGAAAACAGTTCTCTCGTAAGAACCATCCTCTATCACTGTTAATTTGTTGTGAAAATAAATACGAGAGAAGAGGACAGAACATCCTTGTCCTAGAATCCATTTCCAGCTTCGAAAATTGAACCCCTGGGGAATAAATTAATCGCTACACTGGAAGTCTCATTTCAGAAATCGTTCGGAACATACTGATAAGACGTAAGACCCGGTTTTAACACAATTCCTACAACGTCCTAGTGAGTCTCGGCCACTGCATATCTGAATAATGCAACTGAAAACTGCAAGTGTGTGTGAAGGCACCGATTTACTCAACAGTCACGGAGTGCTAACAATACCTATAAGAAATGAACCTGGAAATGCATGGACGACTGGCCTGATGGGAATAAGTGGGGTATCGATGGTACACCAAATGCACCAAAGCGCGTGAGGCGTTGGAGCTGACATCTACCGGTGGTACATGGTTTTAAAATAAGTAACTCCATAGCCAGTAATCCGCTGAGTCAATATCAAGCAACTTTGGTGGCCCTGAGCAAAATATCTACACGACATTGAAAGATTACAATACTTTTGTGAAACATTTTTTTTTCATTGCATAAAGAACATTTATTTTTTGGTAGTAATTTGATTTGCACATTATCATAACCATTTAAAAAAAAAGCTTTCTAGAAAAACAAGAAGAATGAAGATAATTTATTTCCTAGTAAGTAACTTTAGGATCTAGATCTAGGAACAACTAGTAAGACTGGACTAGAAATTAAAAGCAGTTTGTAAATTGCCTCACTTATAAATATACTTCTAAAGAGCAGTCTTTGATATGCTATTTCTGTAGTAGATGATTGTAACATTTATTTTCTTAGTTCCAGACTTTATTGATCGGGACGTCTATACGAATCTGTTAATGACACAAACTGACTCTTAATAGAATGTTGTATTCCGAAAATGCAGTGCACATTTGCAATAGTGCAAATGTGCACTTTTTTGAACTGTTTTATATTTCACCAATGTTTTTTCATTAATGTAATTATCTAACAATAGTAGTAATAATAACAGTACAAGACATTTCATCAAAAACTTACTTATAAAAGGGAAAACAAAACCTAGATATTTTTAAATTCATGTTCACCTGTTATTCACCTACACAAATACGAATTAAATTATAAAAATTGAATATAAGTGACCCTTCTTTAACTCTTATTCAGAGTTCAGTAACCTAGTAATAAAAAAGGCGGACAAAATATCGAAAAACAAAAACAAGTGACCTAAAATGATTCAATCTATCGATGCATCCTTGCCACGGTTTTATACGACTGCAATATCCGAACAATATTCAAGATTGATTCTCTTGTAGAGCGAAAACGACCGCGTTTCTATGGCGACGACGTTCACCTCACCGCAAATTGACAATTCAGATCCGAAAACGGGGAAATGAATTGAAAAACTTTGTTTTCGGTCGCTGCTTTCTTTACAAAAAAGCGCACGCAAAATTGAAAAGGGTTTAATTACAAGTCCCTGGATACTTACCAACTTCGCAGTGCACCAAGCCTATCCACCAGATTATGGCACATCGAAATCTAATTCGCAAGGAAAAATTATATAAGTAGTTTGGTGGCTTTTACTTGATGAAAATCCATTTACCACTATTAAATTAGAGCAAAAAATTTTTCCACAGTTATTGATTTATGACGTAATTTAGTTTTATTGTTTTTTAAAAACTGTTCTATGGTGTTTTCAGTTTTAAAAGCCCAAATTTAGATTATATAAATTTTTGGTTCGGTGTTTAATGTGAGATAGATAGAGTTCAGATTTACATATTTAAAACTGCTTTTTAGTTATAATTATATCTATCAAAGAGGGGCCGTCATCCATGATAAAAGCTATTTGTTTTAAAATATTTAAATCTTTTAAAAAAAATTCTGCGGTAAGTGGTATATTAAGTAGTTTACAGATAAAAGCATAACATGCAGCCATTGTGTGTGTAAGGGTGATTAAAGTTATTATGTATTATGTCCGTGTGTGAGGGTTTACGGTAAATGGAAAAATCTAATTTGTTCTGTAGTTTAGTTATAGTTAAGTCCAAAAAGTTTTAAGAGCTATCTAATTCGGTCTAGGGCGTATGAAAATGTTCGAGTCTAACTATGCCATTCATTTAAATTTGCCAATGCACAAGTTTGACGATATTTTTGATATTTAACATAATCAATCAAAAAACGAAATTTGTTGGAAACTATGGATATTAACAAGAAGAAATATTCAAATCTATTACTTAATAACCAGTTGGATTTAAATGCGTCTCTGTTATTAAATTTAAATTAATATCCCTACACCAGTAATTAGAAAATCTATTACTACCTGTTTGTATATCTAGGTGTCTGAATATTGTTAAATTTTGTATTTGATAAAGGCCCGGTGTTGTCGAAAGAGCTGTTATACATCATTGGATATCTATGAATTATCTTTTAAAATGAGATAAAATTAATCCAACTAGCTTCGGCTAATAGCTCTAATATAGTGCCTTTTTTGCAGCATTGTAAAAAATAACGTTTTCTTGGGATTCCTTTTGCTGAAAGAGGCATTATCAGACATATCTTTATTACTTTTAAATATTATTTGTGCTGTAGAAATTAGCGGAACAATTTTTGAAAGATCCGGTAGATGTAAATGTGCTACGTAAATCCCACTTGAATTGGTGGGTTATATTGTTCGTATAAGAACATTTCACTGAAAGTTCTCATGTAAAACTTGATCTAAGCACTGCCAGATTTGCCTGCCCGACAGATTTTTTTCAAATTTAAATAATTTTGTTAACTTAAATTCGTAATCATCCA